TGGAAGTTTTTAAACAGGCTGGATGGCCATCTGCCAAGAGTACTTTGATGGTGCTTTTCCTGCATGGCAGGGGGTTGGACTGGATGGCCCATGTTTTCTCTTCCAACTTTATTATTCTATGATTCTATGAAGAAATGGTAGTAATGAAACTAATAATGTTGGAAGAAAGCCATAAGCTCTTTTCGCTGATTATAATATAAAGGGAAACATTTTCATATGTTCTCTTGAATTTGAAAAGTCCATTGTTTGAGAAAAATATAGTTTTAGAGCCTGATTCTTTGCTGGAAAATGGACAAGGTTCTTGGAATATGGTGTTGAGGAATCCCTAATTGATCCCTTGTCTCTTGGACAGTGGAGTTGTCAGGAATCAGTTGTGTCCCCTATGTTGTTTCACATACATATGAAGCCACCAAAATAGGTTGTCCAGCATTTTGTAGTCTGGTACTACTAGTGTGCTTACTCCAAGGAATCCCTCATTTTTCTGATTTTAGAAATTTGGGGAGCCATGTTTTTAAGAAAGAGCAAGCACTGGATAAAAGACTACTTCGATAGACAACCTAGAGTTTTCAAATTTACGATGCAGTCTGTCTCCATCAGCTTTCTTATGCAGTATCATTATGATATATAAAGCTCAGCTGGATAGTGAGCAAAAGACTGGAATAAAAAAAATTATCTCGAATCAGTGCCAGGAGCTCTAGGTTTTCCTGAGTTGTGGAGCAGATCTCTAAACCATTTCTACAGCCAGATCTTAATACTTTTCTAGCAATTTAGAATTTTAACCAGATTCCTATTTCCGGAAGTCAAAGTATGTTTCTGTGACTGCTTTATAAACAGTACACTTGCAAATGGCCTGTTAGTCATTAAAGACAAACAAGTGTTTTTATTTTGTCTCCAGTGAGTGCATTTTCTGCATACTGTTTGGAACAAAAAAACTTTTAGACACCAGCTGTGTTCCTCCAAGCACCCTTGGGAGGCCTATTAAACTACCATTGAGTTTTGCTGGAACTGTCTTTTTTTCTTGAGACAGAATTAAATCTTTACTTCTATAAATGTTTTCACTGCTGTTTTTCCTTCAGTAACTAGTTACGTTTTCCTTTAAACTGTTTTTGTTTTCCAAATAGCTTGCTCTTGTAACTGGCAACTCAGAATAAATCGGATAGCAAAACTTGCTGAAAACCCTTAGGCAGATTTTTGATTATTTTTTTTTCTATTATATCAGGGACATTAAAGTGCTTTCACAGTTATTTGGAATCCAAAGTCACTCTTGTTATCTGAGGTTTGTAAAAAGTATGCAACTTTAATCTGTGACTGTTTCTCTCCTCCTCATTACTATTGCCTTACTGAATAATGCTTAATTATTGATTACTATTATAATAAATGCTATATGTTAGAGCATTCTTTGTAATTTGCAGTATGCTGAACATCCTCCTGGAGTGGTGAAATGCTTAAGGAGCACAAGCGTATTACTTGACTGTTAATTATTTGCAGAAGCTCATTTAACATACATTCTTTCGTGGCAGCCCTTGGGCTGAGATACAAATACCCACTCAGAGATCAAGTAAAGAAGTTCAAGGTTTTACTGGCTTCATTTCCAAATACTTCAAGTGTAGGCTTGCTCAAGGCAGATGAAGATAGAAATTTCATGACTTGGTCTGTTTGTAATTTATGACTCTAATTAAGAATTGTTTCTTAACAAAAGAAAACTGAAATAAAATAAATGCCTTGCGGGTAGGAATTCATCTCTTTTTTACTTACATAAATGTGCCTCAGGATACAATAGCTCCAAATAACATACCGTTTGTGTTCTTTAAATATTTCTGTCATTTTGATTGCAACAGAAGTAAATGAATGTATAGTAGTTATTCACCTGTGTTAAGCCTAAGCCAAGATAATTGTAAATATCTAATAAGAAACTCAATGGCCTCAATATATTTATCACCCCAGTAAAATCTTTCAAAGGTATTGGGTAAGCACTTTTCATACCAAACACTTCTGGAGTGGCTGGTAGGCTGACTCAGCCTGCCTGCCATGTGCCAAAAATTAGGACACTCCCCATATTAATGGGGCTGGCTGGAAGAATGGCACTGAGGCAGTGGTATCACATGAGCTCTGATGCTGTCCCATGTATCGGTTGAGATCATAAGACAAGCCCTGGGTTGCCACTGAGCTCCTCATTAAAATGAACTCATAAGATGTTTTGAAATGAAAGTAAATTCTAAATACCCCTGCTATTTTATATTAACTGGTTTATCATATCAGTTTGTTGTCTCGCAGCAATTGTATTGTTTAAGCAAATAGAAGCATGCCGGTATGGAAACAATCACTTTCACACCTTATCTCCAATAACATTATGGGATTCTTCAGTTATGCACATTTCTACAATCAGTCTTCTCCACTGCTTTGCTCACCCTGCTTTCATATCCATGTCCATCCTCCATAGCACATGCATGCAGTTTAATGTTTTTGCTCCTTTCTTAGGCTACAGTTGTACAGTAATGGCACTTCTTGCAAACTGAGGGCACAATTGCATAACTGTGAACCAACAAAACCAGTGTAATTGTGCAACTATAGCAAGATTTTTTTTTTTTTAAAAAAAAATAAAACCCAGGAAATGGAGTAAAAGCAAATTGACATAAATTGGACTTCAATGAGGAGCCAGAGTGTTCTGTCACTCAATATGTCCTTCCAGGTCTACTTTTTATATCTTGGATTTGCTGATGGGCTGATGTGTTATGACCCATCTCAAATCCTTCCCTGAATGTTTATGTTTCCTATTGAGAAAGTATAAGCACAGATGTAAAAAAGACACCAAACATTATTCCCAGCATATAGTATATAGAGTTGATTTCTCAGCCATAGTTTGCACTAGTGGTGCACAACCTGTGGCCCTCTAGGTGTTTGGGACTTCAGCTCCCCAAATTCTTGATAATTAAACAAGCTGGCTAGAACTTCTAGGAGTTAGAGTCCCAAACAGTTGGAGGGCCATGGGTTGTGCACTACTGGTTTACACATTCTAGAATGTAAAAAGTATTTATTTAAATCTTTAAACTAGTTATACCCTGCTCTTTAGCCACAAAAGATCTCAGAGCATCTTACAAATTGCTAATTTGACAGTTATCTTCCCTCAGGCTTCCAATCTAATTGAGGTATGGCATGTAAGGGAAATGGAATGGCAGTGGGGAAGGGGGTTGAGACCAGCAGAAACTCTCTCCTTCTCTCACTTTGAGGGCACAGTTGTGGCAGTTGGTACTGAGGACTCTTTATCTGCTTCCAGACCAAAATTTAGTGGAGCTCTGCCTGCCTTTTCCTCTCTTCTTTGGAAGTCAGGGAAGTGGAAGTTGAGATGGATGGTGGGCCTTTCAACTGCTTCTAAATTGAATCTGAAATTATTGTGCCTGCAGGTTTCTATGATTTCACACTCACAACTGGGAGGAGAGAGCAAGTTGATAATTGCAACAGAAGTGCTATGGTTTCTCAAAGAAACTGTATATGCAGAGCTCATTCTAACAAGTGATGATCTTCTTCAACAGATTCTACTTTGAACCTATTGGTTTTGGATTAAGTGCCAAGTGTATTCCAATCTATTTGGCATTATGAGAGAAACGCTGCAGTAATAGTTACAGCTAGTAAATGCCAACCCCACATGGCACAGTAGTTAAGCATAGGACACTATTAAAATACTTCTGCATCTGACATTCACAGCAGACTTATCTTTTATCTGCACGCAATTGCAGAACTGCTGTCAGTTCCAAAGTAATGGCATTGGGGGCTTCATAAATTACAGTGGTGATGCTTTGGAGAAGACAGTGTCACATCTAAATAAGTGTTTTGCTTCCAGGGTAATGTATGTCTTCATCTGGCCCAACAGTCAGCATATTGCCCTGTGTTGATGGATATTGTCAGCTTGAAGCTATACTGCATTTCACTGTACAATAAACATGGCTGTCAAAACCATATAAAGTGAAATCAATTTATCCTGTATGGTCAGTGCATTTAAAATGAAATTAATGTACTGTGGGCACAGTAGCAAAAAGGTAGCATATTAGTTATGCATCCTCTGTCTTAAGATTTTATCCATAAAAATGAATTGCCTGCACAGAAAAACAAAATAATTATTGCGCATCTTAAACTGCAGCAGGGTTGTTGTTCTTGTTTTACAATAATTTGGCAGAGTTAGGGTTCTACATCATTTAAAATATTGATTTAAATCTTGAGCTAATGTAAATCATCCCGCCACAGTGAAGTCAACAGAGTTTTACTGATTTATAGTATGAACTGAGGTTTTATCATATATGTATTTGAATCTGTAGGGGCGTATCTGAAATGAGTCTCACCATAATTGTTGCGTGTGAAGAATATGCTTTGTTGATTTAAAAACTTTTGAGTTTAAAATTATTTGCAGCATTTTTACCATGCAGATAGTTGCTTAGTCTGTCAAATGCATGCCAAATATTTTTGTCAAGAAATACAAGAATGTAGATGAATGTTGCAACTCCCATTGGTACCGCTGTCTCTTGTGTGTATTAAGCTGTGTAAATAGTATTGTCTTCATGAAAGGAATAACCTTAATTAAAAGCATATTATACATCTTTACTAAAATGTTATGAATTTCCCCCCACAAATGGCTTTTTACACAAAAATGTTTCATGTAAAAAGGTAATTTTCCAAGGGGAGAGATAGATCCTTGTCAAGCTGGAATGGCATAGCGGTTGACACATTTTTTCCAATAAGGTATTTTAATATATCAATACATAATTTCATTAAGGCAAGTCATCACGACCTGATCCCTGAATTTCTCAGTCTTTTCAGTTTCCACTCCCATTACAGGAAATAATATTATTAAATTCAAGTAATAAGTGAATCTGAGATTTCCTTGATTCATCAGTCTGGAAGCAGAAAGTGGGAACTGAAAAACAGCAGGGCATGGGTACTTATCCCACAATCAAGACACTATAATAATGTTTGCATCCATCTTGTTTCTTCCTGCCCTGATATTACAGGAAGTAAAGCAATGAATGGCTCTGCAGCTAAACTACAGCAGTATTATTGTTGGCCAACAGGAGGCGCCACTGTGGCTGAAGCACGAGTCTACCGGGATGCCCGAGGCCGAAGCAGCAGTGAACCCCATATCAAACGACCAATGAATGCATTCATGGTTTGGGCAAAGGACGAACGCAGAAAAATCCTCCAAGCTTTTCCTGACATGCACAACTCCAATATTAGCAAAATCCTTGGTAAGTAAACTTCCCAATTAGTCTAGAGGAAATAATTGCCAAGCCTGCATATCTCAGAATAGCAATAGAAACCCTATTTTCCTAGTTTCCAACAGACCTCACAACTTCTGAGGATGCCTGTCATAGATGCAGGCGAAACACCAAGAAAAATTACAGCAACCCAGTGATTCTGGCCATGAAAGTATTTGACAACACATAGGAATAGAAGCATCAGCTTTTGCTTTGCTGTAGCACAATTACTCTGTTCATAGTTCTCTGAATCAGCTTATACACTGAAAAGAAGGTACACACAGTTAGGTGCCATATAGGACACATGCATAGCTACTTTGAATCTGATCTTGAGAGAAAGATGAGCTATCCAGTCATCCCTCCCTCCACATTTGCAGTTTTGGTTTTTGTGGATTCAATTATTAATGGATTTGATTAAAAAGTTTCTCTCAAGGAATTTCTAGGTCTTCCAGTGTGACTCTGTGATCACCTTTCTCCAGTAATGTTGTAGGACCTAGAGATAATGCTTCTCTGAGTTCTTGAATGTGAGTCTATGGTCAGTTTCCAATAGAAAATGACCATAGAGTCACACTAGAAGACTGAATATCAAGGCAGAAAATCCCACAATATCTGCTTTGGACTTGGTTATCTGAGTCCATCTGAGTGGAAGGCCCCCTAGAAATACCCAGGGAAGTATTCTTTTAGGGCAGAAAATTGTGATTTCTTTAGTCACAGTTTTTCACTTCATGAAGTCCCTGGGCCCCCAACCTCAGTGAATGTGGAGACCTGACTGTAAATCCAATAAATAAATGAATAAAGATACAATATTTGTTTTAAAGGAATAGAGATAAAGGGTTGTGTAGAAAAAAATTATCAGGATGAACTGTATGGTAATAGAAAACTTTGCAGTATTTACTCGAATTAGAAATGTGAACTTTATGCAAGTGAAAGCTGAATGAAAAATTGTCATGTTGCAGAAAGGCAAACCTTTGCAGAAGTTAGTAGAGTGCATAGACAGCATATTTCATATAATCTAAAGCAGTGGTTCTTAAACTGTGGGTCCACTGGTGTTTTGGCCTACAACTCCCAGAAATCCCAGCCAGTTTACCAGCTGTTAGGATTTCTGGGACTTGAAGGCCAAAACATATGGGAGCCCACAGATTGAGAACCACTGAACTAAAGGATTCAGTGGTATTCAACACCAAACTGATTCTTTAAAAAAATGGAAATGTCTTGGAAAAGCTAAAGCATCTCATTCACTTTACTTAAATTTTTAGAAAAATATAATTGAACAAAGATCATATATAACTTGCCAATTATCATGTTTTATCTTGCAATCATAAATTTACTGAATTAGAATTCTGGAGTATTAGAAACACATAAGAATATGTGGTAGAGTGTTTAACCTGATATTTGCCCACCAAGTATTTTAAGTTATAGGAACAATTTAAATGTTAGCTCATAATAAATAACAGTGACAATCAAATTTCACCTGTAATGATTTTATAAATTATTATTAAGCATTTTAAGAAAGCTGTATTTCTTTCTCACTTTTTTCCTTCTCTCAATGTTGAAAAAAACTACTGTAGAAATAAATGTAGCTCTGTTCTTAAAACTTGTGGTGTTTTACATAGAACTTCCCATATTTGTCTACCATTTTTAGTAAGTTGTATGAATAGGCTTTCAGTTTTGTATAAAACCTTTACTGTTCCAGTTTTTGGCAACTATGTGGAATCTATATTATTTGTATGCATTCTTTGAAGAAAAAACCTTACTACAAGTATAGTAACAGTATTCATTCAAAAGTAAACATTCAGAATAAATATTTCAGAAGTGCCAGCAATCGTATATTCTTTAAACAGTGGTATAACCTGCCAGGCATTTTCCCATCCACCACTAAAAAGGAAAAGAGAGAGCAAGCAAAAGAAAGAGTGTCAATTTACACATAATATCTGTACATATTTTCCAGGACAATGACAAAAAAGAGTTTGAAATATTAAAACTGACAACACAGTATTGCTGACTCTGGATAATATTTATAAAACTTTTCCATTTGTTGATGTAGGAAAGCTCAGGGTAGAAGAATAGCTTCCATCCGTGTTTGCCACAGCTGTAATAATTTTAACCAGCTGAAAGTTCTTTCAATTTTTTTTGTAATAGCCTTTCTTCACTGTTTAGGTTGCTCTCCATAAACAATGCAACTTACCTAAATAGTCTTCTTCCTCCTTTGTAAACTGTGCTGTATTTTTTTCTTCTATTAGTGCAGTTAGTGATTAATGTTTATAGTAATTAAAATGCATAGTGAAGAACATTGCAACTGTATTTTTCCACTTTATTTCAGATACAACATTAAGTTTAACTCAATATACTTACTGCATCTGTCAGGTCAATCATAATGCATAATAGCATCTGTTCTATTTTTCAAATTACTTTTGAATTTTCCCTAGTTTTTAAAAGAGTTTGCATAAAGGGTCATTGACTCAATAGAATAGAATACTAGCTGGGATAGATAAGTCAGTAAAATTACAAATTCTCTGGTATATAGTAGATCATATAAGAAATAAAACACCAATAAGTAGATGAATCAAGTATTTTATTGTTCAAAGAGTCAAGATCTTGTTAGAGAAAGGTACAATCTTGAATCAAATGAAAAAGATAAAAGTTTAAAAACCCAGTTATTACCAACCATATTACAAAAAACATCTGACTAACTTAGGACATCAAAGTTTGTCCGACAAATGCAATAGAAATGCCTATTTCTGTAATGTCACATTTGTGACCAGTTAGAATATTTCCTTGGCAGACTGTTTAGTTTCCACTGGCTGGATGGAGAAGGAAGGGTGCTTGAGAATTTGAAAGAAAATTTTGCAGGACTGGTAAGACTCCTTTACTCAGTACAAAGTACACTATAAAACTTAAAGGTAAATTCCAGCTTTCTAGTTTGCTTGGTACATTCAAGTGTAACCTGGCAGGAAGGAAGTTACTTCCCATCAGAAGTTGCTTGCTTCCATGTTCTTTCATTTTACCAAGGATTGCCCACTTTTTCGGGATGTGTGAGTATTACCTATAGGGATACTCACTCTGGTTTAGTATGTGTGAACAAAGCACAAATATTATTACACTGCAACTTGGATCAGCTGTAATCAGCATAGTCAATGATTTATTGGTTTAAAATATTACTGTATTACCTTCTGCCCACAAGGGCTCCTGAGGTGATGAACAAATAAAAACCTATTGATGAACAGATAATAAAAACATTCTAAAAACAAATCAAAATGCTCTTTAAAACAATTCTAAAATCCAGTATTGAAACCATTAAAATAGCAATTTCAAACTTTGACTATCAAGAGGAACAGAAATGTTGAGTTGCCTACTGGAAGCTTAAAAAAGATGAGGCCAGCCTAATTTCATTGGGCAATGAATGTCATCGCTGAGGCTCTTCTACAGAGAAAGCCCTATTTATTACCTGGACCCACCAGCCTTACTGCATGAGATGTTGGGACATGGTATGGAAGCTTTTCTGGCATGCTCATATGGGAGGAATCTCTCAGATATCCAGGCCCAATGTTGTTTAGGGCTTTGTAAGGCAACAACAACATCTTGAATTGAGCTCAGAGGCAAGTTGGAATGTGTGGCGTTGAAGTTCAACAATATTTGGTGGGCCACAACTTGCCCACCCCCGATTGAGAGTTCTGTGAAATTATCTACCACCTAACATGAGAGTTCACTGATATATTTTTTCTATGCAGGTTCCCGCTGGAAATCCATGTCAAACCAAGAGAAACAACCATACTATGAAGAGCAAGCACGGCTAAGTAAAATTCATCTAGAGAAATATCCTAATTACAAATATAAACCTCGACCAAAACGCACCTGCATTGTTGATGGCAAGAAACTGCGTATTGGAGAATATAAACAACTCATGAGATCTCGAAGGCAGGAGATGAGACAATTTTTTACTGTAGGGTATGTAGTAAGATTTTTTTTCAGCAGATCTGGGTGTGAACTCTAGTGTTTTCCCCATCTTTTCCTTTCTAGTAGGATCGGACTTTCATCCAAGAATATTTGAAAGATTGAGATTAGAATCTATTCTATTCTGTGATATATTGGGATTTTCAGTGGATGGCAGGATATTTGGAAATGAGCTCTAGTGCTTCATGAAACTACAACCCCGGAATTCCATAGGATGTATCCTAAAGTGAAATAATAATATGACAATTGCATTGTGTGAGAGGGCCAAACTCTTTCTCATGTTTTATGGATTATTGCATTGATAGGCACAAGTACCACAAGTACTGGGAATGAATAGTATATTTGCGTTAAATCCATATCATTCTATGATATCCTTCCCTTTTGGGTAATTAAAAACAAACCTGCATAATTGTCCTCTGAAAAAGTATTACAGAAACTGCTTCAGTTGGATTCAGATGAATATAATTTTAGCAACTACCTACCTAAACAGCTACCTTCTTGAATGGAATATAACTGTGAGTTCTCTATCTTCTTTTCCCTCCACTATTTTTATTTCCTTTTCCTGACACTGTGTTGCTATTGAAATTCATTCAACGATTACCTATCACCTCTTAGAATTCCCTCTTAGAAAGAGGCTAATGTAACCGAACTTAGGGCTGTTAAAACAGACAAAAATATAAACTAATAACAGGGTATACTATTAAAATTGCTTGGAGCAGCAGGATATAAACAGTCTTCTCTTGCTGGTATCATAACTACTACACTCTTTGACCTCTGGTGTTGATTTTGATTCAGTAGCAGGCACAGAATCAGAAATGGTGACATCAGTAGTCACATCAGTACCATGTTCCTATGAAAAACACCAAGGGAACACTAGAAATTACATCATGCTCATAAGAGTAACAAAAAAACCCCTTGTTATCCATATGGCCCACAGCCGTGGGCAAGTGTTTTTCTTCACTACTCAATTCTCTGAATTTTGCAGATGTCAATTTTTTCTCCATGTCCTATAGAAGTTTAGTAACTCCTTCATCTCATCCTGATGGATCTTTTACATTGCAGAGCTATGATTTTAAACAGGTTTCTACTACATTTCACAGCAATTCTGTATGCAACTCCTGATTCCCAGAAATAAAACCAGGAATGAACTTTCAAGCATATATAGAGTTGTTGTGAGCTTCTCTTTAAAAGTGTTATTCTGAGCAACATATTGAGCTATGTTACTGTGTCTATCCCTTGTTTTTGGCCAGCATTTCTCTCGAATGATTTACAGCTGTCATTTCTAAAACAAGAACTAAAAATATTTTGGATGCTTGGTTCAATCTCTGTTTTTGGCAATTTCGAGTCCTTCTAACCTTACAGTGTTTTGTTTATTCCTCTAATCACAATAGTCTTTTTTTATTATGGACTTTGCAAGGAGATAATTGACCTTGACTGATTGGTTCTGTGCCTTGCTTCTGGTTTGGCATGTTATACTCACATTGCAGTCAATTATTTTGTGGTGCAGCCTGCAGCAGAGAGGGATTTTGGTCTAAATCAGTTCTTGATATCTGGAAATATGATGAGAGTTTGAAACATGATGAGCAATAGGCCCATCTACCCCATATTAAAGTATAGTTGGCAGACTTTAGCCTGCAAGGAAACAATTTAGAATAGAGGTTTAGATATTCAAAATGATCATAACCATAGCTTAAGGAAATTGCTACTTTAGCCAGATTATCCAGTGAGAAAGCAAAGCTTATCAGAGATGTGGAAGAGTAGTGAATTGTTGTTACTTGTATAGCTGCTGGGGGCAGAAACACAAACTGAAGAAATTCTCATATGTGTGCATGTTTGTTGTGCTTTGACATAAGGAAAAATATGGGATTTCCACATAGGATAAAAAGTAGGGACCAGGAATTTACATATCTGATAGAAAATGGTGTGAGACAAGCAAATCGAAAGTGCTGAGTAGCACTGTAGGTAACAGTGCTACCTATTTGTGCAAATGCCACAAATTTGCTTTTTTGTGTTCACAAAATTTGGTCAACTTATGTTTTGATTCTAAAGTGTTTTGAAAAATTAGTAAGGGGTCTCATATGAAGTTCCTAAAATTTTGTTAGTTTTGTTATGTTATTTGCCCACTTGTGCCAATGGGGACACTTCTTGGACTCCTTTCTCCCTCATGTTTAGGGCTATTGTCATGAAACTTGCTATAATTGTAGCAAATATTTGCCACTGTAAGCCCTCCAAGTTTCAGAACATTTCACTCATCCACTGAATGTAAAGAAATTTTTGAAATTTTTACAAAAAAAAAATTCTTTAAAAAAACTACTAAAGCTCTTCCCTTGAATTTCTTTTAATGGCACAACATTAACACTTGGAATTTTTCAGAAAGATTCACATATCTACCGATTTTAAGGGGATTTTTAAAGTTTTGTTATCTCTCTTCTGCCTACACAAAACACAGAGACCGGGCGGGGGGACGACACTTTGCAGATTTTGGAAAATATTAAAGCACACTGAACTTTGCACAAAATTGAATTATACTTTTAAAACCAAAAGAATGCAAGAATCCTGAACGGACTCCCCCCAACACACACACACATCCTAAAAGGATCCTAAACTCAGCTGTGATTATCCTAAAACGACTCTTAAGTTAAGGCAAATTAAGCTCCATGACACACATTGCTACTGAGTCATTCACTCGCTACCCTGGACTTCCAGCTCTCTCTCAGCTTGCTCACAATGGCGACCAAGGTAACAAGGCATCTAGATTTAAAGGAGTACTTCCTCCCTTCCCCTTCCCCTTAGCCCTGATAGGCTGAAGAGAACATGTGACATATTATACCTAGGATCTGCTGCCATAAGACTTGGTATGGCTTGCACTGAAGAAGAAGCTGTCTCACTGTGACTTATGAAAGTAACACATTTCTTACGAAATCTTCATAAATGGGTGTTTTCATTTGTTTGTGTGAGAGGACCATGCAGCGTTGGCTTCGTAACATGGGTCATAATTATGGATTTACCGAATCACTTACAACCCATTTCCAGATGCAAAGCCCTAGTAGGTAACAATCCGGTTATGACCAACTCCAATTTTTCACATTTTCTTAATTCCCATCTATGTTCTAGTGCAGGGGTCCTCAAACTTTTTAAACAGAGGGCCAGGTCACAGTCCCTCAAATTGTTGGAGGGCCGGATTATAATTTGAAGAAAAAAATGAATTCCTATGCACACTGCACATATCTTATTTGTAGTGCAAAAAACACTTAAAACAATACAATAATTAAAATGATGAACAATTTTAACAAAGATAAACTTATTAGTATTTTAATGGGAAGTGTGGGCCTGCTTTTGGCTGATGAGATAGGGTTGTTGTTGTTGTTGTTGTGTGCTTTCAAGTCACTTCAGGCTTAGGTTGACCTTGAGCAAGGGCCGGGTAAATGACCTTGAAGGGCCGTATCCAGCCCCCGGGCCTTAGTTTGAGGACCCCTGTTCTAGTGTTTCTGAAAGATTTCTGGATGATAGTTTTCTGCACTAATTCATGAATATTCCTTACTCTGAAACATTGCAGAATTTCTTGACTTGTCCTATCAGATTCTTCATTACTTTCCTGGTCCAGTGTGGAAAAAAAAAATGCTAGCTTGTTGCAACAGTCAAAAAACACTTGGCTCTTTTGTAGGTTTTGTAGAATGGGATGTGTAGGCATTACTGAAATGAATTTGCATTCTCAGAAAGGGCAAATAACAGTCATCTGGGTTTGGGATCTCCGTTGGATTTTTCATTAAGGTCAGAACACTTCCTGGTGAGATGTAAACTTGCAACACTTTTTCAAGTTGGATAGACCTGCAGTATTTGGTTCACAGTATTTAATGAATGCCTGGAGAATTTTCCAGTTGACTTTGGTGGTAATCTTTGTCAAAGCCATAGCTATTAGTAGGATGGTTTTGCCAAGTCTCCTCTCTCAACATCTCTCAAGCCCATTTTCCTGCTGAATATAGCCTTTTCAGTATCTTATTTTCCTGAGAGTTAGCGGCAACAAATAGTAGGAAAATGGCTTGAACTCACAAGAAAGAACAAGCACAGCTATAACTCTCCTGTTAAGATATGAATCAAGAAAAATACTTCATCACCACCATGACATCAGTGGAATTCTATATAGAGAAATGTTTGGGTGAAGAGTTATTCAAATCTTCAACTTGGTCTACAAAATAATGTGAAGGGACCCTTGAAAAACATTGTTATCTTGTTGCTGAATGTATTTTAGCTATTTTAGCTGAGTCCCCTTCGGGGTGAGAAGGGCGGGGTAAAAGAACCCCAAATAAATAATAAATAAATAAATATTGTAGCATGAGGTCATGAACATAATTTCATGATGATATTTCAATAGGTTTTTATCATTTCATTTGCTAATTATAGATTCTTAGTAATAAACTTTCAACTCTTCTTTAAAATATTTCCATGACTAGATGCACATCTCAAGTGTTTGATTTGCTAATATCAGAATGAAGAAAGGGCTTTTAGAAACATCTGAACTAAAAATGCTTCCTTTGTTAATTTGCCTTACAAAAATATTCCAGTCCAATTCCAATTCAGTCTACTAAACTGTATTCAAGCTTTCAGTCAGAGAAATAATGTGGACATTATTTGTGCTTATAAGATGCTGTAGGAAATCATGTTAGTATTTATGGCTAATATACACACATTTTATGAATATTTTTGGACTACTGTGTTGAATAGGTCATTCAAGCTCTGTCACCATAGCTAGGCTAAAATTTAGACAATAGCGGCTTTTATGAGATCCAATGCTATATCACTCTTTTGAAGTTGTGTGATTCAAATGTTTTAGCAATTTTCCTTCAGTGCACTCAACATGAACTTAGAGATGCAAAGAACAATGACATGGAAGGGGCAGCGGACAATGATTTTTGTCAATTTAATGGTTTGGATGGGGGGAGGATATTATAGATTTTTCAAATCAGACCAATCACCTGCTCAGCCAACCAATTTTTGCAGCCCTAAAATTTCTTACTATATTCAGGAACTGCCCAGTGCACCTTTCAATGTAGCAAGAATAGCAAAAATGCCTTTCAGTGAAAGACAATAAATTGGCATTAATCTTACATTGATAATGGCAGCATCCAGAAGATATTAGAAGAAATTTTGTTACCTAGCACATTTGGATGTTCAACTCCATGTCACTGTATTTCAACAAAAAGATGCCAGAGAACAGCTTCACAGTTAGATTGTCAAACTAGGATTTCTTAGCAAAATTATCTTGACTGAATTAGGGTTTAAATGACTCTGCATCTCTTTCTTATATCAAAAAATAATCAAGCCCTTTAGAAGTTAAAATTTGAATCAAGAATGATAGTACTAACAGCAGGTAAATCTGCATTCCTGAAATGCAGTATAGTAAATGTATTAAAATCTCTTCTACAGTTTCACACACACAAATTGTCCCTCTGAAAAAGAAATGTTGAGGGAGGGGTTAGTTTCATGTTCTGGGTGTTTCAAGATTTCTTTTCATATTTTGTTTTTGCTGATGTTTTTACATTTACCACATCACTATGAGATATGTTGCTTTTTCTCATTAAGAACCACAATCATGTTTCCATATCCTAAAAAGCCACCAGGAAGAACTTTGTCATATGTTCCTCTGGGCCTTAACCAAGAGGATTGTAAATGCTAGAGAGATTTCTGTGTTACTAAATTGAGGATATACGGAAAAGGAGTAGAAAGGGGCAAATGTTAGCAGTGTGGAGACTTCTTATTTGGTGGGAATTCTTGTTGTTTCTAGATATCTGAACATTTCAAGTTGGAATAGCAACTATGTAATAGAAATGGTATTATAAATAAACGAACTTAAAAGGCAATGAACCAGTAAGCTTCCATTCAACTTAGGTTTGTGGCTATTAGACCAAATCCCACACATACTGCTGTACCTTCTGTTAAACTAGGAGGTGTTTGCTTCTCTATAAGAACTGAAGTAGTATCTGATTCCTGTTTGTCTCTCCTTGCAGGCAACAGCCTCAGATTCCAATCAGCACAGGGACTGGTGTGGTCTACCCAGGTGCTATTACTATGGCAGCCACTACGCCATCACCTCAGATGACATCAGACTGCTCCAGCACTTCTGCCAGCCCCGAGCCCAGCATCCCCGTCATTCAGAGCACTTATGGCATGAAGGCAGACAGCGGGGGTCTGGTGGGCAATGAAATGATCAATGGGGAGGACGAGATGGAAATGTATGAGGACTTTGAGGATGACCCCAAATCAGACTATAGCAGTGAAAATGAAGCCCATGAGGCCGTCACTGCCAACTGAGGACATTTGCTGGATTAAAGTACTCTGACTTTTTGTTTTTGTTTTTGATTTGTTTTGAACAAAAAAGTTCTTAAATGAGCCTGCATGCATGTGTGGCTCCTACAGTTACATCTGCAGAATGGTCTTAAATGTTTCTTAATGTGTGACACAGATTGTTCCCTAATTTTCATGAACTTAAAAAATGTAGGTGAAGACATTATGTATCAGACATTGGGACTTGAAAACTTATATGAGTCAATAGCTCTCTTACAAGTCTTACCTTCTTTTTTTGATCTGTTTTTCCTCCTCCTGGATGCTGATGAAAAAGGTTTAAGTTACTGTTTTAAATGGGGGTTTTACATTTTCACTCAGGTAAGCTGTGCCAGCCTACAGGTTGTGAATGTGTTTTTATTCTGAATTATGTTAGAAAACAAAAAACAAAAAAATAATTGCAGTTTTCCTATCACGAAACAGAACAATATCCTCAAGTTTGTGCATCTGTGTCTCTTAACTCATCCTTTTTAAACAAAGTCTCTGAATTCCATTTTCCCCCCTCCATGTGTATAGCTGATCTTCTGATGTGCCAAACTTTCATAACTTTTGAATCTTAACATTTTAAAAAGTCTTAAGGGAGACACTGTAAAGTCTTAGACAATCCTTTGGCATCTTAAAAATATCTATGTATCTTAAGAAAAAAACAACCATGTAATTTTTCCAGAAAAATTGTAAAGTACTCAGGAATCTGGAGATAGAATATTCTTAAAATCGTGAACATGACTGCCACAATGCACTTGCCCAATTACTTCTGCCTCATGATGTAACATCAGTACAAACTGTTAAGTAAGCACAAAAGAGCGATCACCAGCTACAGGCAGGCCTGTCTTCAGAATTCAGGGCCACCTCCAAATCTAATCTGCTGTTTTGGTCTTAACCCTTGCATTCAGTCTTAACTATAATTTCTCTTAAACAATTTATTCATTCCAGAATGTCAGGGGTCTATTCACAAATTTTGTTTTCCTTCTAAAGTTCTTGGGGGTGACATATTTCCAGTTTATTCACGCCTTTCCATTAAAAGACTGTAGCCATCTTAAAAATAGGAAAGCATGAATATTGAAAAGCTACTCTGTACCTGTGCAGGAAACTGTCTATCTGTTTTAAACCTGGGGAAACTATACAAGTCCCTACAAATCTACAGCATGCCTAACGATTGCCATGCTGGTTGGGATTGATGGAAATTGCTGGCTGGGGATGATGGGAGGCATCAGATTGGAAAAGACTGCTCTGCAATATGCAAAGCAAAAGTATGCAGGTCTTTTCAATCTTTTCTTCATATATTTGCCCTAGGTGTCTGCCACAGGCCTGCATATGAGGAATGAATGTAGCTAGGTCTAAAAGGCAAAAGGGTGCTTTGGAATTAGGTTTCCCAATCTACAACCCACCTTCCCCTTGTTTAACAAACCAGTTCTGAAACAAAGGAAGGTTGTTTCAGAAACAGTCAGAAAATATACATGGTAGTCATGGTAGTTAAAAGGGAAATAGCAGCAAAATCCCAGTTGAGTTCTAAAACTCTCTGATAATAGTACTAAAATGTTAGTTCCTAGATTTGGCTCTCAGGACAGTCTTGGGCTAAAATCCACATTGTCCTGCAAGGAGTACAAGGGTGGGAACAGTATGGTATATGCAAGAAGTAATTTTACCAAATTGTTTTTCAGTGGGGGGTTGGGGGTGGAAGATGTAAAATGCTGCCACAGTTTTGGGATTCTGCATATATATCATTATTAACACTTGTCAGCATCTATGAAATATTGATATAAAAAGATGCACAAAATCTTAATACTATATCAAGTGTTAGCATTAGAGAACTAAAATGATATCCTTAGCATTTCAGTTACCTCACATGATTTTGTACAATAATGATTCTGAAAATCATTGCTCAGATGTGTGGTCAACACACATGAACATATCTTTAGGGTTTCAGTGTTTTATTTTATTGATCCTATAAAAGAGGAAAGAAAACAACACACACATTTATGTCCCAGGTATAATATCATATCAAGTAAATACATGTAAAGTTCTCTAGGCTGTAAGATGCTGCAGAAATGCAAACATCACTTATTATACTGGTAGAATATTAGCTGTATAGTAGGCTGCGAAGAAATCTGAGCTGTGAGAGGGGAAAAGAAACATTCCAAGGTTAATAATCTTGGATATATATATAGCTTCCAATCAAGGCATTACACTTAAACTTTAGAATATGCTCAGTTTTCTGTAGTATGAAGGCCTAGGTTGGTGTGCACTGTGCAGGTTTGAGGATAGCAATATTGCACTGGTAAATAGTATGGAAAACATTATTCAGACTCATAAATGTGAATGCATAAAATTTGGATCACTAACATTAATAGACTTTGTTTTGGGTTAATTTGAAATATTTAATCCTCGGAAGATGACTGGGGAACAGTCATAGGAAGATAAATATGGAGGGAATGCTCTCATGTCTTTTCATAATATCTTGACTATTAGTAGTCATAGTAATTTCAGAGTGATCTATATATAACAGTGAAAAATACCTCAGAAAGGTGGTAATGTTAATAGGTGCAAAACTGTTCACCTACGAGTTGTCAAAAGTAAATGCAGCTTCACACGATATCACAGTGTAGGAGCCCTGCTATACAATATTACATCTGTATGGTGGATGATCTAGGCATTGGACTAGAATTCATTTCTCTTTGTCCCAGCAGTGTTTTTCTATTTGTTATGGCAGAGACAACCCCATTGTGTATCAATACAGATGGCACAATTTCCATGGAAGTGCAATTCACACAACTGACAACACCATGCTGTCAGTTGTGTGAAGCAGAGTTATGCTGTTGAGAGTCATAACAATATGTAATATTAAAAAGTCAAAAAATGATGATGGAAGAATTTCTTCCTCTCTCAGTAGCTGCCATTAGAGGAAAGAGTTGCAATGATTTTCAGAATCATTATTGTACCTTGTATGGTGGCAGAGATTATAAATCAGCAAGTATTTAATATGTGTACAAAATCCAGTTCCTCCTGAAAATTTGGTTATAAACAAAACCATGGCAAATGAGGCTCTTGTCCCCTCTAATTCATTCAGAGGTCTGTCTTGCATACTACAGACTTGGATCCTATATTGTAATCATTGTATTTCTCTCCACTTCCTTAATTTTAATGGCTTTAAAATGGTTCCTGATGAGTAAAATTGGCATAATATCAATAAAGGGAATTGTCGTGCTATTTTACAATACTGCAGGATGAACAAAGCAAAAGAAGACAATAATAATACCCTGAAAATGTTCACCAACAATTGCTGGAGGCGGAATATATATTTTTTGTAATGTTAGCATAGACGATTTAATCCACACAAGTAAGAAAGGGTTGCTAAATTGACAAGAGAAAATATTATTCTGACAGCATTCTCCTCAAGCTTTGGCAGCCATTTTGTAAACTGGATAAAATGCATTCAACAAAAGCAATAAAACTGGTCTAGCCACAAAGTGAGAGACACCTGTTGTCATTAGCTGGTGAACGCCCTCTTTATTTAGTTAAGGTACTGAAAGAAAATCCTTTGTAGTTAAGATTGTTTGGAAATTTGAACTGATCTAATCCATGTAGCTTGGAGGGGAGGTACATGTTCTTTCCTAAAGAATGAATATTTATTAATTTCATACATATTTCTCCTGTTATAAATCTCTCTTGATCGTAACATTTCTTTCCTCGCCATTTTTTCATAGGGATTTTTTTTTTGGCTGATGTTGTTGCATAGGTAGAATGCTGTATTGCTCGCATTGTATTTTGTGTAATTATTTTTGCACAAAGGCAAACATTTAGTTTAGTGGATTAATTTTTTATATACATTTTATGACCATGCCAAAATAATATTCTGCAGGCTGGTGGAGAACAAAGGACTGTTCTTTAGGACTGAAACTTGATTTTGTTCGTAGTACAAAAATACACACACACATACACACACACAGATGTTGTTTCGTAAGTAAGTGTTATAAACACTGGATATAAATGGTATTTTTTATCACTTCTAACTAATGTGAAACTGTTGTACAAAAATGACATGAACAAAAGTCATCTGTTTTGACTCATGTGGGTCTGCCTCACAGTTGCCGGATTTGAGTCATTTTTATGTCTTTTTATTTCATTTATTTATGCAAGATTAGTCTATGTATGAATACTTTGTTTTAGCTCCAACCCTACATCTGGGTTGATGCTCTATAACTTAAAGCAGTGTTCTTGACACTGATTGGCTCTTCACGAATCAGCAGATGGTGGAATGCTACTTTATTGGACAGGTTGGGTAAAAAGGTATTTGAATCAAAAAAGTACAGAAGCCGTTTATTGTATTTATTAGCCAGTGTTGGCTCTAAAGTGTTTGTAGAAATCAAGGAAGGACAATCGTTTGGAAACGAATTTTTCTTTCATTCTGAATGGAGCTCAAAACAAGGTTTTTGATTAGTCACCATCTCATTTTAGATTTTTTTAAAAAGAAATGTGTAAATATAACATAGGAAATAGAATTTTATTTTTTGTTCTTGGATATTTAGTGAAGTATAAGTTATGTATTTACTTTTGTTCTGTATCAGTGTACATTGGTCCATATTAAATGCTGACAAATCACTGTACCTCATGTAGATATTGAATTTACACCTGCAGTGGGAGAGCAGTATTGTGGACCTGTAGCTAGGATGGCAAGACGCCTCACTTGCGCCCTTTTTCAAATCCAAATCCCATATTTCACAAATGCAAGTCATTTCCAATGTGGCACCTGTTTCAGGAATAATAATCTTTATCTTCTTTAGTCCCTGGTAGTGGCATTGTAGTTATGGGGACTGATTAAGCAGAGAGATGTAACTTAATAGGCTGGCCCTAGGAACTGTTGCCATAAGACGTGGTATGGTAATGCATCCCCTTGTGTAGCATTACAGACAATGGCTCTAATACAGAGAAAAGGAATCACATCTGAATCTCTATTTCAATCAAAATGGCCACAACGTGATGTCAGTGAAACCAGTTTTCTCTAGATCAGTGCCATGGTGAAACAGTCAGACCTCTGACAACTTTGGAAGACGTGGTTCCACTAAATTCCTTGTAAGTTAGTTAAATATTCTAATCAGTCAGTGACCTGTTTTATCCTCAAAGCACACAACCCAACAGCTCTCACACTTCTCCATATTAGGGGTACTGTTTTAAAATATGGGCTGCTTAAGTGCCAGATTTTCAATTTAACTTGCAATCAAGTTACTTTAAAATCTGCAATTTGCTTCCAAACAAAACTGCAGAAGTTTCTTCCTAACATTTTGTTTGAAAGCAACCAGTATAACTAAATGTGTCAAGATGCATGACAAATAAGTAAGTTAATATGATGTGGTGGAAGGCTGCCATTAACCAGGCCTGAGTAAATGAAGCCCGTTATTAAACACAGCACTGATCTGGTTAGCTCTGTGTTCAAACGTGGAACAAAGTTGGCCTGTCAAAAAAGGAAGTAAAATTAGCAATAATAGCTTAAAGTGGCATGTATTATTGCTTTCTGTAATAGATAGCAAAATATGTTCATGTTCCTGCAAATAAATGCTTGCTAAAAATTCAGTATCATGGCATGCAGTTAGAAAAAACTGATTCTGAGCAGCATTTTGTTCTTAATATTATTATCATCATCCCAGTTCCTTAGCAAAAGTTTCTTAAAAAACCCTTTACTTTTAAGAGAAGACTTCTGGAATACTTTGTGACTGGTTAGAAAAGTCCTTTAATTAAATGATAGCAACCAAACAAATAAATAGTTCAGTTGACCCTAGTATTTTACAGAAAGCAAAATTAAGTCTTAATGATACTGATAAAAGTAGCAATCAAAGGTTGTTGTTGTTGGTTTTTTTAGGGTTTTTTTTTTTGCTATTTTAAGGGGACACTAAGCTTTGAACTCAGAACCTTATATATGCAGTGCATGTGCTTTGCCACTGAACTGCAGCTCCTTTTCCTTTCACAGACTGGTACCCTATTCCCAATTAATCATTGCAACAGTCATGAAGAGTTAGGAAATGTCAGATGGAGTTATAGCAGGGTAAGAACTCCAGATCATTTGAGTATAGTGTTTCTTGAGAGTGTGAGTGCATTTGTTATTTACAGTTAATACAAGCCCTGTGAAAAAAGTGCAGCAGTAACTTGAAAACAATTATTGTTTAAATGATTGTGTAAATGAAATAATGATTGTGTAAATGCAAGCATCCCACTAATACAAGTTAAAGCATGATCTCCCACTGTACCCACAATTGCTTTTTGTCTTATTGAAGCTTAACAACTCTTTTGACTTTATCACAATTAGTTTTATAGTGCTTTAGTCAAGGAAAGTACTTAAATCTGGAATAGTCTCAATGGAAGCCAGCATTACTGCTCCAGAGTAGGTAGTATGAGATCACAGCCACAGGTGCTAGATTAACTTTAAGCAACCGAGCCATTCTACTGAAGCCCAAAAGATTTAGGACTATGTTTAAAGTTAAGCTGCAGGAAGTTACGTGTATATCTGGATGGGTTTGTCAGTGCCAACAACTGCTCTAGAAATGCAGCTAGTAGAATGTATAATAGAGTATTTCATATTCTCATTTTTTAAAGTCATAGTCTCAAATCCTAGATGTTTGCATGCATGTTTAAAGACTGAAGTTGGCACTTAAGCATGTCCTGTTTAAAGACTAACATGTGACCTCATTTGATTTTTTAAAAGAGAAATAAAGGCACTTACTCTTTTCCTCAAATACACTTCATTTTCCTCTTCCCACCCTAATTACTTGGCCATCCCCTTTTTCTACCAACCTTTATTCTCTGAACTCCCAGATGATGTGTTTGATATACTGTAATACTGTGATCCCGCCTAACAGAAGAGTTTGGGGGAGGGGTACAGCCAGATTTATTACATTGGATTCAATATCCCATTCCCCCCTTTAAAGTCCAAGTTTAATTTTTCAAAGTTGATTTTTTTCAAGAAAAAAAGGGAGTTCACTCCTTGTGTGCAAAGAGGAGGGGTGGGTTTTGTATGTGTGAAATGAAAATGTATCCAATTGGTATTTATGGCAATATGAAAGCTATAAAGCAGCTTAGTGACACAGCTTGCTTTATAACTTCTGCTTTCTTCGAAAACCACAAGTGAGGTCCTTGGTGCTCTCAAAAGTTTGGGGAATGTGCAAATATTTAACTGTTTGTATGCTGCACATTGCAAACCTGCTAGTGTGCATTCTCCGTTTGTCTTCCTTTGTCCTTTGTGTTTTGCTTTCTCAGAAGCACAGGGTTTTTTTTCACCCTGCTTATATGTACCCTTCATCAGCCTGTAGCAAAGTTTTCGTTCTTCTGTTCCTCCCTTATTGTATTTGCCATGTACAAATATTGGTCTTTTTAAAAAATACATTAAGACGAGCTTATAAACTGTTACTTACTGTAACTTTTCTTTCCTGACATTGTAATTTGTTTGTGATGTATATTGTGAGATTGTATTCTATGTTAATTTAATCAGCACAATTCACTGACATGCTGGACTGACATGCTAGCTGCTGTTTCAAAGTGTAAAGTTTTTGTGTAGAGCTGTTGGGGGACAACTGAGACACCCTATGTCAAGGTACAATGCTTTTGTCCTTATCGCAACCATGTGGGTGTGCCTCTGAGGATGCCGGGGCAGCTGTTTCGTCACCCACAAGCAAATTTTGTAACTGGCAGGTTTTCTTTGTAGAAATTCTATATACAGTGCAGGTACCTACCTGGGCCCAGGGCTGGTAATTATTTGGGCATGTAGAGGAAAAAAACCCTAGTGTCTATTGCTGCTTTGAATATGTTTTAAAAGTCTGAAAATGTAAATAGTTTATCAAAAAAGAAATCTTGTACAGTCCAGTGTAAAGTTTTTAAATGAACTTAAAAGTTGCCATCACATCTCTCTCACACTCTCCTCTTGAAGCAATCTGAAAAGGAAAAGAAAAAGAAAAGAAAAGTTTGCTAAGGATGTTGATTTTTTTTATTAACAAAGAGAAGTATCCATGCTCTTAATTTAAAGGGAGGGGAGGGGAAAGGAATCATTCTTAGCTTTGCTCCGTAGCATAAACTGACCTCTTGGATTTTGTTGTGCAGTATTGACGTGAGGTAAATTAAAGAATTTTCCAGTGGTACTTTTAAAGAGTATTCTCTCTCCTCTGCTCAGAAATCAACAGAAAAGACAAAACTGAAAGACACTGTCTTTATGGTGTATATTCTGGTGTATGTTGGCACCTTACTGACTTGTTTGAGGGGATTTTATTTTTCTTTTCTTTTTTCCTTTTTGCACAAGGTGCTTTCTTGATATGTTAGACATGTCATCATTGGGTGAAACCATATATGCCATGATAAGGGGGTTCGGACCCCTCAGGGGAGCGTCTATAAGACTGCCTATTTATGCTCATTTACCTCAAGACTGTCCTCTCTACCCTTAATCTATTCACCATCACTCCATCTTTTGTACTGCTGTTGACACTTACAGATTAAAGATAAATTTTGTTTTATGATATGTGTTTGGCTTTTTCTTTTATCTTTATGTCTAGCAGTCGGCTTCAGGTCGCAAAGAGAAAAGCCCCCATAGAACAACTGGCCAATTCCTTTCGATTGGGCATATCCTCATTGTCAGTTGATCGAATGCTGTTTTGTGTCACATAAACACTTTGGGTTTCGAACCATTGATGTTCTTTTCTTTGATAAGCCCAAACCACTTCATGTAGCGCATGAGCTGGAAATTTGTGCAAAATCAACCTTGTCTGGTTTCTTGAGAAATGAAACAGAAAAAAAGGTATTCCTTTGCTGCCCTCTTAATTTTTAATTCTATGCATAGCCATATTAACTGAACATTGCAATGAATTGGTGATGTTTTGGGTCCCAACAGTGCAAAGCATTTTCCTACATCTGGATTTTGGATTGTAAATCATCTTTCTCACAGGTGAGAATAAAATGATAACAAATTAAGCTGAAGATTCCTGTATTAATAGATAACATTAATGTTCCTAGCAAACCTTTTCACAGTTTTCCCTACAATAAAGAGAAGGAAATAACCATTGGTAAAAGGGGTAAAATATATAAGACCAGCAAGCATAATCATTATCACATGCAGTGCAACCCCTGTATCCACAGTGGATATGTTCCAAGACCCCTTTGTGAGTACCTGAAACCATGGGTACTAGTAAATCCTATATTTTTAGGCAGGATACTTCCATACCATAGAATCACACTAGAGGATATGATAAGGCCAAGAAATACTTCTTGTGGGGGATTTTTGGAATACGTGAAAGTGAAACCATGGATGTAAAGGGGCTTGTCATTATGATCTATATTCTTTTTTGTATCTACCAAAGATTGTCCCACAGTAGTTTGCAGTCAAAAAATAAACCAAATGTTAACTATCTGCTAACATCCAAACTAGAAAATATATAATGAAAATATGGAAGACGTGCTGCTGCTTCTATGGAAAAGCAGCAGATAACAGTTTGGTCAAGCAGTAAAAACAATGGCAAACCACTACCTAGCAAACTCAGGAATACTGAATTGCATTTGCCAAAGGCTTTACAGAAGAGCCAAGACTTGATCTGGTGCCTAAAAAAGTACAATGCAGGGATCCACCACTTCTCTCCTGGGAAGGCATTGCACAAAGTCAGTGCTCCTATTTAAAATCCCAACTAGGCATCATTTGGCAACGGCATCTATGCAAGTTTTTGGATGCAGACTGAAATGCAGCAATCACTCATGTATCTGGCTCCTGAAGCATTTGTGACTTTTTGGTCATTATCAATACCTTAAATTGAATTTGGGTAGAATATGCTACTCTTATTTAGCCTGTGAGTCACTTACACATAGAAAAATAGGCTGTGGAATTTAGTGACCAGTAGCTAAGCTCCACAGCTGCTTTTCATTATTTAGCAGAAGAGAATTTGTATAAATCTATAGTTTTTCAAATATTGCCCATGAGTGAGGCAGAATTAGATCTCTTTCACTACTTGTGAAAGACATCTAAAATCAGTCATTCAAAATTTACCAATTGAAGCAAAAAATTCAGTTCTACTTCCAGTTGATTCATATAGGAGAGTCAGGGCTTTTCTCTGTGCAAGAAATAGCAGGAATGTTTTTTCTGCCGAATAATTAGGAACTTACTCTGCAAAATTGACACATGGTTGCTTTGCACAGAGAGTAGTCTTTTGTGCAGAGAAAACTGATTTCTATAGCAGAAAATATTTTTGCATATTTTATGTGCAAAAACTGCTGTTTCATGTGCAGAGGCCATTTGCAAATTCTGCACAGGACAAGTCCTGAATCGTGAATAGGCTTTGAAAACTATATGGTTTTGGAAAACTGTCTTACAATTAGGAGAAAATTGTAAAGATACCCATTGCTTCCTTCAAGAAGAATGACAGCCTTATTCCTTTAACAATATGGAACCTCCACCAGATACAGAGTTTCTGCTTAAAATGTTCTAATGGAGAGACCAAACTCCTAAAAGAAGTCTGTTTCAATATTGAACATCAAGATTTTGTCCAATTTTGAAAACATTTTCTTGTAAATTAAACCTGCTTGTTCAACTCATTTTCTCTCTCTCTTGCAAAACAGAGATCAAATTAATCTCATTGTCTATATAAAAGCCCTTCAAATAGTTGAAGAAGGCCATTGTAGCATCTTTTAATTGTGTCTTAGTATCATAAAATAATAGAGTTGGAATATACTCCATGGAGCATCTAGTACAAACCCCTGCCATGCAGGAAAAGCACAATCAAAGTATTCCTGACAGATGGCCATCTAGCCTCGGTTGAAAAGTTTCCAAGGAAGGAGCTTCCACCAGACTCTGAGGCAGAGAGTTAAATAAATAAATAATAAATAAATAAACTTTATTTATATCATGCCCCAACTCCCTGGAGGGACTCAGAATGGCTTACAAGACAACAACAGTGCAAAACCAAACACATAAAATATGCTACAGAAATTAGCCTAAGTCAATAAAAATAAACACCAGGTGCAATAAAAATGAACAACATATGGAGATTAACATAAACCATGTCAACTCAAAATAAAATAAAACACAAACAATAAATTATAATTAAAACCATAATATACAAACCAGATTAAATGTCCCAGCCACAGATTGGATTAAAATATCAGCATAGAAGTAAAACTTCATTCTATTTAGGTCCTCCAATTTTAGATGTTACATTAACCATTGTCAAAGGTCTGTTTGAAAAGCCATGTTTTCCGTCCCCTCTGAAAAGACTGAATTGTGGGAGCTTGCCTGATCTTCCTGGGGAGAGCTTTCCAGAGCCGAGGGCAGGGGAGGCACAATTAAGAAGGCCCTCTCCCTCATTGTTTGAGAGGGAGGTGGGACCAAGAATAATAGAATCTTAGAGTTGGAATAGACCTCGTGGACCATCCAGTCCAACAAAAGAAGGAGGGACTTGCTGGTAGATCTTAGAACCTGTGCAGAGTTCCACTGCTGAATGGCTCTTATAGTCAGGAACTTCTTCCTAATTTCCAGGTGGAATCTCCTCTCCTGTAATTTGAATCCTTCTATCTTTCTCCTAGGGCTTGGTCTTCAGATTCCTTCCTAAATCCTTAGCTACAATGCTTATTAAATTCTTTTAAAACTCTGTTCTATTACTTGATTTTAAGTGTACTAGTATGTTCCAAGATTCACAATAACATTCAATTAATTACTTTTCACTTGCACAATTGTCATAATAAATGGAATTATACACAAATAATGTTTTTATTTGTGTATAATTCCATTTATTATGACAATTGTGCAAGTGAAAAGTGAATAATGTTTTTATTGGAGCCCCCGGTGGCGCAGTGGGTTAAAGCACTGAGCTGCTGAGCTTGTTGATTGAAAGGTCGCAGGTTCGATTCCGGGGAGCGGCATGAGCTTCCGCTGCCAGCCCTAGCTTCTGCCAACCTAGCAGTTCAAAAACATGCAAAGGTGAGTAGATCAATAGGTACCGCTCCGGCGGGAAGGTAACGGCGCTCCATGCAGTCATGCCAGCCACATGACCTTGGAGGTGTCTACAGACAATGCTGGCTCTTCGGCTTAGAAATGGAGATGAGCACCACACCCCAGAGTCAGACATGACTGGACTTAATGTCAGGGGACTACCTTTACCTTTACCTAATGTTTTTATTATAAACATTTAGCATTATGTGTTACAGGTTGGATCTTCCCCAACAATTAATGGCCAGCTGGATTTAAGACTTTTTAGCTATTAAAGCTGGACATTGTTTGTCAGGACAAGAATTTCCTGTCATCAGTTATTGCTTGAGACCCGCTAAGGGTCTCTGTAAAATATGTGAATTAATTGGATTATGCTGACCCTTAATTGTTCTAACTATCTGTCATATTATCACCACTCAAAACATGAGCTAGTTCATAACAAATTTCTTCATAGCTGTTACCATATATATTAACATTGCCTGGGTGACTGATACAATAACCCATAATTGCAATGAAGAAATACCCATAGACAGTTGAATTAAGATCTGCTTCAGCATATTTTAATTCACTTTGATATGTGAACTGGAACAGTATTTCAACTTACTTTAAACACTGCTTGTTGTAAGGAATTGCTGCCTCGTGTAAGGCCACCATGAGTCCCCTAAGGGGTGAGAAGGGTGGGGTACAAATATGGTAAATACTTCAAGAATACATCTCTATAGTTAATTAGACAACTGGTCCTATTTCATTTAGGTTGGAATTACCCTTTGCTTATGTGTTGATAACGGTGAAGATTTGTTAGAAAATACTTAGATAATACATCTCTGTACTTTATCAGGCAACTGGTGAAAGTATCCAGCTCCACACAGGTTGGAATTACTCGTGGTTTATATGTTTATATAGAGACAATGTCAAGTTAACTTACATTGTTTAACTTACACAGTTGGACAAATTATGTCTATCTCGTGTGAATCAAACTACCTTCACTGATTCTTCTAGCCATGTCCACTCTTATGGGGCCTCTTGAGTGTGGGGGTCTGCCTGCTCATGTGCTCTCTTGGGATGCTGTACAGCTAATGAAGGGAAGAGCTCTCTAATTCTGTCCCTTGCACTGTTTTTCCTGGTTTTAGTTCATATTGACAGAAACTCTCTGTGGTGGTTTCAGAAGTGTGCACCCCGAAGTATACTCTGATTTCTCTTCAGAACTTATAAAACTTTTCCCTTTCAAAAGATATCTGTCTCAGTCACCTTCTAGGAGAGGGCTACTTTATTTTCACTTTTTAAGTGTTCCCTTTCCACAATTGTTAGTAGGCAGAATTAACATGAAAGTTGCACACAAACAACTATCATCCCCAGAACCAAGAACATCTTACAGTGCTTATTCTCAAGTAAGCTCTGTTCAGTAAAGGTTTGAAGCAATCTTGTTTAAAAGTTCTTTACCTGTAGGCTGACCCCATTTTATTGTTTCCAAGGGTGGGAATGACCTATGAATTCCTTCCTTGAAAAATCTTTTTTAATTACTCCACAGTATTTATTTGTTTATTTATC